TGATCATTCTTCACTTTCATCTACAACCGCAGTTCATATATGAATTATTTCATATAAACTTCACATCAGATACAGCAGGGCAACAAGGAGGCCGCCATCTTGGATGAACGAGCGAGGCATAGGCTCGAGTCTTATCTGTGCTACGAGATGTTTCTTTGCCACAAGTGCATCGGAAACGAATCAGAAAACAAAACGTACATATAAAAACTAAAAAATGCTTGTTTTGTAAGCATTTCTTTGCATTTGGTAATAAAATAGATTTACACCACAGGTATCACATATCTTGATTTTAGTCAAAAACTAAAATCTTCCTAAAACGGGAGCGTGAGCAGATTGACATAGGCACCCCTTCTAATATCATTTGGTAGGGTATAAGCAAGCTGTGTGCCAAATGTCATGCTTTTATCACTCTTGTCACGATCCAGCCTAACTTTTGCGTTAAGCCACCTGACTCTTTACAGGTAAGTGTAGCCACATGGCGGGATTGTCCATACAACACATAACATGCCCTTCCCATTTGAAATTTAAACTCTGGTACCCAGTGCGAACAATTTTTAAGTAGTCAGTCACACATTTATGGTCATTTATGGTTCGTATTTATGGCAATTTCAAATTTGTATTTGATTTCGTGGAGCTTCTAATTCCGTAAGGAAACAAGGTATGTACAGTTTCATTTTACAGAAACGTTAACTCATTGAACTATAGTGACGAAGTGGCTAGAATGGTGGGGAAAGCCGTTTTTGTGCTAAGCCTCGAGCACTGATAAACTACTGAAACGTCGTGCTGTTTCCTCGCTTCTATGTAATTCATGATAAGATTGACCAAAATTTGCAATTACTTAAAAACCCAACGTAGCGATAGAAAGTTGCTCCAGATATTGCTGTTATATGTACTTTAAAACGCCATTTCAGCGCTATTCACTGGCAGAACTTCTCAATGGATTCTAAATTCCGTACAAACTCTTGCGTTTTCGAAGTATCATTAATATGTAAATATTATGCCTGTGTTATCTATATGTTTATGTAACCTGTGCAAGACGCTGGCAGGTCAGAAACGATAGATACAGAGATGCAAAGGACATACTGCTCGTGTGGTCTGTAAAATGCTGTGCACCGGAAAGATGCAGCAATTCAAAGGGGGGAGGGGGGAAGTATTAAAAGTTTGGACATCCCAATTGGCTGATTTTATCGTAATTTATCTCTGTGAACGGTTAAATGCAGATTGGGTGCTTAATTTTGTTTTCTTGTTCAATTTTTGGCCCATATAGCGCCAAATTTTGAACACCTCTTTTAAACGGTCAACCTCTATTAAGCGCGTAATAGAGGTTTGACTGCACGCCCAAGAAAATCAAAGCGAGACTCACGGGCGGGTTTTCGCAAGTAAATCAGGGGCTTGGGTAAACTGCTAAACAAACACTTACAAGAGTGCAATTTGTAAATAATTTCCGATGAATTTTTACTGTAAATCTTTCATTGCTTGAGCTTTGAGAAAGCTACTCATTTATTATATGACAAAGAAAATCGGGAACGCGCCTGTATTAATTTGCATTTGACATACAATTAACAATAAATTTGCCTGCTCTCGTCGAGTCACAAATTTCAATCAGAGAAGAATTAGTTAACATTCATTAGAATGTACAGCTTCAAACAATGCGTCTGATCAAGTTGTTTCACAACTACGAAGAATATTTCTCGTTAATTGTTTTAACTAAAGTTTCAACGATATTTAAATACTAGTTGTACCTATCTGTAAGTGCCAACGAGTGAATTGAGTTAGTAAACAGGAGTCGATTGAATTTTGTAATATTTAGTTGGGATACTTCTAGTATAAGAGGTGAGGCAGGTTTCTTTTTAAGGTCACAGGTCACAGGTCACAGGTCACAATAAAAAAAGCACTCAGTAAAACTCACGATGTAACAATTACCAGAGATTCCAAAGAGGTCTATCGATGTTTCCATGCAACAAACCTCAACAAAAAATGTTTTACTGTATAATTTTAATGAAAAAATGTCTAGGGGTGGTATATGTACGAAATGGGTTGAAATGTAGCTTACAGACATGTAGTGTTACATATATTTTA